CAGAGTGACTCACCTCTTGAGCTAATTTGAAAAACCTGGCTTTGAAAGGAAATGAGAAAAAAATGATCTTTCCTTTTAGCAAGGTTATTAATTATGGAGGATTTCATAAATTATTTTGTGATTAGTTCCATGGGTTTTAGAAGCCTATGATGTCATCATTGAAAATGTGCTCCATCTTCTTAATGGCACATTTTCTTCGATATTCATTTGAATTTCTGATTCCTATTTTGATATGCTTGATAATTAAGTCTCCCTAGCTTAGGAATTCTACCAATCAATTTATTTTTATGAAGATTTTTTACTTTTATGGTTGTAGATTGCTTTATTGATGGTCAGGGGCTTGATCCTTTAATAGTGCCTGTTTATAATGGCTTTGTTTTATTTAAGTTTAGTGTTCAGTAAGAACCTCTATGGGAGTGAAATGTAATTTTTTTTAAGAATTATTTTTGTTTTATTTTAACTTTTGTTTATTTATTTCAATTTGACTAGACAGGGACAGAGAGAGAAAAAAAGCAAGCCGCCAGGTCTGGGACTCAAATTGTGGTCAGCCACATGGGAGTCCAGCGTCCTTAACCACCACTACCTGCCAGCCCTGGGAGTAAAATGTATTTATCACAAACAAAAACTTATCTCAAAGTTGGGTGGGAAATTTTTTTTTATGAGAGTGCATGTGATTCTTAGAATTAAAACTAATTTGAATGGACTTTAAAGAAATTGTCTAGTTAGGAGCCCTTGCAACATTTATATGATGCCTTATGTGATTTTTCTGTCTTTTTAAAAAATATTAAAGCCCTGGCTGAAAATGTTTAATAACAGATTTTATTTCCAATAATGGTATTAGTGGTGAAAATTATAGAGACACTTGGTTTTAATTTTTTCTTCTGGCTCTGATTTTGGGATAGAATAACTTCTACTTGATCGAAAGAGTTAGGCATTTATAAATAGTCCAGTGTCAGCAACTAAATTCTTTGGGCACTCATTATTTCCTGTTGGATACATTGTTTTCCACAGAGCTTTCTTGTGAATATGTTTACATGATGTAAATTAAGCGAAAGTACTCAGCTATCAGGTCTGTAACGTTAAGGGAACAATGGTTTCTTTAAAAAGTATTATCTGTACTGTTAAGGGATGTTTTTAATTTCTGAAGTGACTTAGTTAATAGGAGCTCTTGGTGAAAGCATTTAGCATAGCTGAGATATGTCTCATTAAGCTGCATTATGCACATGTCAACTCTTCTTTTGTCATTCTCTAATAGTTTATTTACATAACCGAGGGCTGCTACTTTTATTGATGATAGTTATCACAGCAAATTTATTTTGGTTGAGTTCACCTAAGCAATGGAATATGCTTGTTTCCAGCAAAACTAACAGTGAAGAATCCAACCTCCTCCCACCCACCAGCTCCCCTCGCAGTGAAGAGCCCCTATTTGCATATGTAAATAAGTCATTCAGTTGAGAACCCTGCAGGGCCGCCTAGGTCCAATCTGTTACTTTGCTGATGTGGAGGGCTTTACCTAGGAGGTAAATGTTACCTGGAGACTGATGTCTCAGTTTAGAATGACAGATACCAGAATCGAAAAGGGGGTCTGGTAGAAACAAAAAACGGATCCTTGGGACTTAGAAGTTGGGAAAAGAAAAGCAAGGCACAGATTTTGACTTTGATGGTGGTATGACTGATAGAATTTAATACTTTTTTTTTTTTTTTGGTAACACAAAAACTATGTGAACACATTTATTGTGTAGGGACATCAGTTTCCTGCAATATCATTTGTGGGAACCTTGTTTGCTTTTTAAAAAATATATAAAGTATTACATAAGTGAACCATGTAGCTGTACTGAACTGAGCTCAAAGAGGCTTTGTTTGTATCTCCCTTGGATGTGTCAGGGGATCTGATGAGTAACCAGACTAGAAAGGGAAAGAAACAAACTGTCAGGCTTTCCCTGAAGTGAAGAAGCAGGCATGTCTAGCTTCTAGTGATTTAAAATCTTCTCAGGGGTTCCCATCTGGGATTTAGCTATGTGCAGCTTTCTACAAACTCTCAGTATCACTAAATATACAAAACTAACCACCAACAACTTTTTTTTCTTCTGTGAGTGAGAGACAGAGACACACAGACAGCATGCCCACTAGAGTCTTGCCTCTGCAACCCTCCTCTCTCTTAGCCAGCCTAGGGTCATGGGTGTCTTCATGCCTCACTTGTTCAGGGGGTCTCTGACTTGATTCAGCAAACTTCCCTTGTGGGGTTAGCTTTCAGAGCATCACTCTTTACTGCTACACCAATTTCTGATCCCCTACCTGTTTTTTTAAGCAATATAATACAATGTAAACAATTTATTGAAAATTAAGGTTAGTAGAAGATATGTCATATGGAGAAAAACTTGCTGTGAGCTATTTACAGTTGCTTTATTTTCACCCCCTATGTAATTCATTAAAATGACATTAATCCCCCAGAGTCTTCCTTGGTTTCTATTAAGATGTATCACTGAATCTCCATGTAAATACATTGATTATTTCATAGACCTATTTGTTCACCACAAGGAGGCTATTGTTGCAGATTCATTGCACTTGATAATGAATGAGATGAGATGAAGACCAGGTTTCAAAAACCTACCTCTTAAAGGATTTGCTTCTCTTTAAACAGCCTTTTCCAACTGGGAGTTTAAGATTCAGATTTCAGGTTTAATATCAACATCTGCCTCCTGCTGTGTTCATGGTACAATTAGCTAATTAAAAAAAAAAATAACATTTTCACCTTGGAGTCAGAAGAAGAGCAATAAACCACAGGCCCAGGATTTAGTTAATTTGCACGTTGACTGTAATTGTGTATTTAATGCTGAGATTAATTTTTTTCCTGATGAGTGGGAGCCTGGCACTGTGCATTGGAACTCTTAAATCAGCTGTAATCATTCCATAGGGAGGTTAATAAGGGCGGATAGTTCTCAAGATATATTAATGAGGATAATTATTTATTTACATAAGATAACTCTTTTAGGGAGGAAAAACGGATTCATACTATTTTTGATAAACCAGTAAGTTTAAAAGAGAATTTTTAAATCAAACTAAATAACCAATTATTTTTCTTTTCAAAAACTGTATTTCTTTTGTAAAAACTCTTGATTCTGTTGAATGGAAAGTCATGCTAAATTTTTTATTTTTGTTGTGCCAAATAATCAGTGAATTCATGCCATTTCTACTAAGATAGCTTTGGTCAACTGAGTTTCAAGACTGTTACTTAGGTTTTTTCAGAAGGGAGTAAAGAAAGAATGCATGTTGGCAGGGCATTTGCTAAGAGAAACATAATTCTGAATTGTTATCTGCTACCGATGACATTTCCTTGTGGAAAGGTAAGCATCGTGCTCTGGACACTGAAAAAATGATTGTTGGCAATTCAAGAGAGTATGATTGATACATGTCTTAAAAGTAATAGAGCTGTTATTCCTAGAAAAGAAAAAGAATTCTTAAGTATCGTAATTGAGATGTGCATTTTCCCCTAAATTGAAGGTCTTTCCGCCCTCCTCTTTAATAGAACTGAGCAAATGCCAGCCTCACCTGAGGGCATGCCCCGCCCGTGCTGTCCCTCTTTCACACAGGGCCTTCGAGGCCATGGGTCTTGTGAGGCCACCCCTGTGTTGCTTTCACCTCCTTGACCCTGGAGCTGTTGCTCGCAGTGGGTAGCCTTTGCTTCCTAAATTCACATCTACCCTTGTCCAGCAGTAAAAGATGAAAATGTGAAACCCTATAGCTTTCTTAGGGATCCCAATTCGGAACTTCTTTCAACTATAGCACCTTGGGTTGAATGTTTGTGTATTCATCATGGAAAGAGTTTCGGGGACACATGAAGCCTTCTATGTGACCCACTTGCCAGATACATACACAGGCATGAGTAAGGTTGGTCTGTGAATGGCCCTTTACACAGCTTTACGTTATAACCTTAATGCTAAATTTCTTATGGAGCCAATAAAATAGAATGTCTAGGGGCAGAGTTGGTGGCTTGCCAGGACGATGGGGAGAGGAGCTCTAAGGCAAGAAGGTTTTTTTGTTTGTTTTAAATTAATCAATCAATCAATTAATTAATTTTTTAAGTTTGCTATAAGACAAGCTTACCAGAAAGAGTGTTTCCAGAGGGACCAGCAGTTAGCGTAATGGCTATGTCACCAGACTCCCATGTAGTCGACTGCGGTTCGAATCCCAGACTTGGTGGCTTAAACTCATGCAGAGCGTGTGTGTGTGCATGCCCAAGATCCCGAGAGGAGAATGGAGGAGAAGGGATTGTGGTGTGGCCATCCCCCCAGGGGGTGATTTCTCACTTTCTGTCTCTCTGTCTCTCTCTGGTGAGTGCACGTGCCCTGTAGCAAAAACCTCTCCAAAAAAAGAAAAACAAGAGAGAGTGCTTACCAGAGAGAGAGAGACAGAGAAAGTGAGAAAGTAAACCACCAGGTCTGGGACTTGTACTATACTTAGCTATGTGGGAGTCCAGTGCCTTAACCACCATGTCACCTCTGGCCCCAAGGCAAGCGTTTTTAAGTGGTTTTCAGGAGAATTGTGATTTCCACAACATCTTGGTAATGCCAAGGTAATGTGGGTACATGTCTAACCTGAGGAGGCTCCTTAATGCCTTCGGTTATTTTAGGAAGACTGACTTCATGCTCAGGGAAATCATGTCCCAGTTTTTCTTAGTATCCTTGAAATATACGTTAGATATAGTTATCAGATACTAGAAAAATGAAGATTTGATGGGAGATGGCCTAATGCTGGGCCGTGTTTGTGATTGCTACACACACATATATGAGATCGTTTGTAACCAAATGTCACGTGCATGCTCGTGCCTTGGTGGGGGAGTGTGTGTCATGTTTTTGTTATTAGATTTCTAGCTCAAACAGACAAAGTACAGTGCTGTTAAACACTGTCCTTCTCCCTTTTTGACCATTTTCCCATCATCTCACACTCCACCTTCGCCCTTCCCACCTCGTGTTCATTCCCCATCTCCTATTCACTGTCAGGAAGGGCAGCCTCCGAAGAGCCATTTCAACACAGCCCGACATCGCCAGAGACTAGTGGACCCAGCTGCTTCAAAAGTGAGTGTGTCCCGTCGCCCTGGGCAGCGGGCGTGCATGGCGGTATGGTTCGTCTGTGGTCTGGGTCGTGGGGTTTCATTTGTTATGGTGTATTTAAAACCTTCAAAATGTGTATAGAGGAGGTAAAGTCTCCTCTGTTAATTCAAGACCATGCCCACAAGTGATCTGGTCCATGTTTAGTTTTTTTTTGCTGTAGGGTGCTCCTCCAAGAGAGCCAGAGAGAAAAAGAGTGACAGAGAGGGAAAGTGAGAAAGTACCCCCAGGGGAGATGTTTACACTTCAGTCCCTTCTCTGTTCTCCTCTTAGGATTGTAGACACACACATGCGTGTGCATAGTGTATATTTCAATCTGTCAGATCTGGAACAGGAACTACGTATTTGGCCATGTTGAATCTGACGACTTAACCACCATGCCTCTGATTGGCCCTATTCTGGTAAATGTTTAACAATCAGACCTGAAAACAAAACACAATTCTGTTTTGTAATATTTGCTCGTTTCCATGGTATGCATGTTCCCCCCTTCCCATGGCCACTTGCAAGTTCCACGTGCCTGTGTGGAAGTCAGAGCTGGGAAGAGGTGCCCGATGCAGTGCTGCTGTCAGGATGGCTAGTTTCTCCACCAGGTAGATACAGTGGGTGCAGACCTTCAAAAACAGTAGCAGAGCCATCGAGGTATGTCAGTTGTGAGTGTCTGTTACCCTCGTGTCAATATCCTATACTTAATTATAAATTTAGATATTTTTGATTTCTAGTAACAATGTTTAACAACTGGTATGTAACATTTCTGAGAGTTTATTGAGCTAGTGTGAGTCAAGTCGGGTGCAGCAATTGCAATTTATAGGTATAAAATGTTGAGTATAGTCATAACCCAGTGTGTTTATACCCAGCCCTTTTGTTCCTTTAATAGTCAACAGTAATCACAGAAAAACAGCTAAGGATTTGCTAATCTTCAGAGCTCAAGTAAGTCTTAGGCCAATTCTGCTGCAGGTAGACTTGTATTGAACAAACATTAGTGGAGAGACACAAAGCATTTATGAAGTTCTGGGACTCTATGAGCTTCTGGCCTTTTCCCTCCCTCCCTCCCTCCCTCCCTCTCTCTCTCTTTCTTTCTTTCTTTCTTTCTTTCTTTATTTTGGAGAGGTTTTTGCTATAGGGCATGTGCGCTCGCCAGAAAGTCAGTGAGAGACAGAGAGACAGAAAGCAAGAAAGCGCCCCCCAGGGGGGAATGGCCATGCCACAATCCCTTCTCCTCCATTCTCCTCTTGGGATCTTGGGCACACACACATACCCAGCGTGAGTTTAAGCCACCGGATCTGGGACTCAAACTGCGGTCGACTACATGGGAGTCCAGCGACATAGTCATTATGCCAACTGCTGGTCCTGATCTCTGGCTATTTCTAGTGCTCCAGTTAAGTCTTTTTAGGGAGTTCCACTCGAGCTCTACATGACAACTTTCCAGAGGCAGCATTCTCTCACCTTTACAGTGGGTATTAAGCCATGGGGGAATCTTTCTGTTTCAGAGGTTTTTGCTGTAGGGCGCATGCGCTTGCCAGACAGACAGAGAGAGACAGAGAGATAGAAAGCGAGAAATCACCCCCCAGGGGGGATGGCCCACGCCGCAATCCCTTCTCCTCCATTCTCCTCTCGGGATCACTGCTGGTCCTAAGTCATGGGGGATCTTCTGACCCACTTGTTAGACACAAGGCCATTGAGCAGTTGAACCTCAGATGCTAGTCCTAAGGGAGGGTACAAGTTATAGGTTTCCTTAGATTCTTATACCCCGTTCGTGCAAGGGTGGAGAATGCCTCTGAAACCATTTTGTTAGTTTTCTTATCTTAAATACCATTGGTTTTGATATTGAAAACCTTTCTTTTAAATTGCCAGAGGTCACATCTGTTCACCAGAGAGAAATAGACAGCAAGAGAGCAAGACTCTCACAGTGAGGCATGGTCACGCCATAACCCCCTTCTCCATTTCTCTTTCCCATCAAGATTTTGGACACATATGTTATACACATTTTTCTTGCATGTTTTTCAACCTACTGGGGCCAAGATTCTAATTCTGGTCAGCCATGTGGTGACTATCTCCCAATTTCCAGCCCTTAACCATTGTGCCAAAGGGCTGGCCTCAAATGTTTCTTTTTAACCTGTTTTCAAGTTTGCATGTGTTTATATTTTAGACAGGGTCTTTCTCTTTTTTTCTAGAGAGAGATTTTTGATATAGAGCATGCATTGGAGAGACTGAGAGACAGAAACCAAGAAATCATCCCGGGGTGTGGGGGAGGGAATGGCCATGCCACAATCCCTTCTTCACAATTCCTTCTTCTCCATTTTCCTCTTGGTATGTTGGGTACACACGCACTTGCGCCCAGTGTGTTTTAAGCCACCAGGTCTGGGACTCAAACCACAGTTGACTGTGTGGAAATCCAGCAACGTAATCATTATGCCATCTGCTGGTCCCTTGGCAGTTTTTTTTCCTATGTTGTGTTTCTCCTTCTTCAGCTTCCCAAGTACCTGGGACTATAAGTTCATACCACCATCCCCAGACTTTAGGGTGGGCTGAGAATTGAACCTGAGACTCTCAGGTGACTTCAGCCTGCCAAATAGCAGCATCCAGTGTGCACTGCCATGGCTGGCATTGAAAGCCTCTTTTAACATTCACCATGCAATAACAGGTCACCAGTTTGATTTCACTAATGAAAACCCATTTGAGTATGCCAATTAGCAAAACCTCTGGTGCTGACTGAGATACAGCTCCTTCTGATATAATGTCAGTTGACCACTAGGGAAGTAAGTGCTGGTTAGGGCCATTGACTGGGGATAAGATATCATTTTAATCCATAAGTAGTATTCCATTGCCAGTGCTGAGGTATTTGAAAGTAGACTACAGACGTCATAGCCCTCTGTCACATTTACTAAGTGCCTAGGTGTCCCTTCCCCCTGAGTTTCAAACCACTTACTTGAGATCAGCACCCTTGAGATGAAGTCATGGAAGTTGGGTTTGTATGGGAGAAGAAAAATAAACGAACTTTGAACAAGTCTGATGGTTTCATCAGAGTGCAGTAGACCTTCTTGGATCCCACTTGAGAGTTTCATTTTTAAGCAACACTTAAATATTGTGTGAATTAATCACATCCACTGTTACACACAACGTGCACTTCTTGGTCAGCAGTGCGGTAAGAACTCCACACAGCCTAAGCTTTTATGTCCCCTCCTTTGTTCTCTATGCCTGTCATTCTGTCTTGGCATCCTCAGAAAGACGCCAAGACAATCCCTCAACTGCCTCACCACGTGATGTGTTATAATGTACACTGCAATTAGCTAATTTTCTTCTGTTGGTACTAAAAGTGTTTCTGTTGTTTTGTGCAAGAATCATGCCTTCTTTTTCTGGACAAATTTTAAGAGGAACTCATTAAACCGCCATGAGGCTATTTGGGCCCTTACTGTGCTGTGTGAATTGGCTCATCTATGTTACCAAATAAGTTTAAAAAGTCATATCCTTTCCTCCTCCAAATACACCTATGGTAGAAATTTGAGAAGGTCCTACAAATATTTTCTAACACTGGGAGAAGCCACTTCTTGCCGTGTAGATGTGTGACTTGGACAATAAATAGCCAATGGAAATGTGCGACTGTGTAGCCAGTGACCTTTCAGTGTCAGCACACTTAGTTTAGAATCCGCACTGTATCAGTTTCAACTCGGTAACCTGAGTTCTAGTGAAGAATCTCTACAGATTCCTCCCATATCCTGGCAGTCAGTACCCGTTTATGGTAAACCAGCTGCCAAATCTTTTGAGAATATTGACTGTAGTGTGGATCTGCGTTGTATAGTCTGAGAAGTGTGATCAGGTAGGAATGTTTAGCTTTCCAATAGCAACATGGAGTGGTGCAAAGAATGTACCGAGGTGGACTGTACATAGGGCTTTGTCACAAACTGGCTCTGTGGCCTTGGGCAATCACTTAACACTGGGGCCTCCATTGTTCTAGTTTTTCTCATCTGTGAAATGAGAGTGTATGAAATGTTCTCTTGGTCAAATTATGGAATTATTTTTCTTTTCCATCGAAGCTATTTAGATATGTAGATATATAAATAACTAGATATTTTATCACTGGTTTGAGTTTTTTGTTTTGTTTTTGTTAGAGGGTGCATGCATTTGCAAGAGAGAGAGAGAGAGAGTGAGAGAGAGAGAAAGAGAGAGAGAAATGAGAAAGCACACCTCTCAACCTTCTGGCACTCGGGAACCAGCAGTTAGCGTAATGGCTATGTCGCTGGACTCCCACGTAGTTGACCGCGGTTCGCATCCTGGACCCAGTGGCTTAAAACTCACACCGGGCTTGTGTGCGTGAGTGCCCAAGATCCCGAGAGGAGAATGGAGAAGAAGGGATTGCGGCATGACCATCCCCCCTGGGGGGTGATTTCTCACTTTCTGTCTCTGTGTCTCTCTCTGTCTGTCTGGCGAGTGCACGCGCCCTATAGCGAAAATCCTCTAAAAAAAAAAAAAAAACCTTCCGGCACTCTAGGGAATGGTAACACAGCAATTCCTTCTCCATCTTTCTCCTGTGAGGACTTTTGACATGCATGCACATGTACCTGGCATGGTTTTCAAGCCACCAGATCTGAGACTTGAACTACGTGGTTGGCCATGTCTGATTTGGCTGCCTTAAACCACCAGGCCATGGAACCAGCCATTGTTTTGAGACTTTTTTAATGACATTTAGCAGTCTTAAAAATCCTTCTACAAATGGCACCAGTACTCATTACTTACAAAGCTTTATTCTTAGGCGGTCTCAATGTCTTCTGTGGAAGTTAATTTTTAAAACAGAAATTACTTTAAAGCTTTTGGGGAAAATATGAGCTAAAATTAAGGGACTCATTTTCTACTCTCAAGGAGTTTTTATTTTTGCTTGAATTTTTGCTTTTTAGAAAAGCAAAGAAAGCTTTTCGTGCATTGAGTATAGACATACACATTTAAATCTGTTTTATTTGAATTAGTAAAAAGGGTTAGAGGGACAGCAAAGATAAGTAACACACCTCTGATTGGCCAAGTTTGTCCACTGGGAATTTCCGAAGTGTCTTTCACTTTGAGAATATGCTTGCCTGTCTGTGCCCCAGTGTGAACGCTGCAACACAGCAAATGAGCAAAGAATGAAGCAAAATGGCCAATAGGAATGGTAGTTCAAAGACACAGAGCAGCTATTTGTGAAGCTGGTAAAGGCCTCCGTTAAATAAAAATCAATTGGAAGTAGGGGCATCAGGGACACGATCTTTGGACAGAAGAGAATACGAGAGTGTACAGAGGATTCGTTTTCAAATCTCCTGGCATTTCAGCACAGAAGGATGATGAAGATTTATTCTAGATGAGCTGTCATTTTACATTGGCGGCTTTGCTGATCCAGAATAAATAGGTTCATAAAGACTGCATTTTGAGCATGTGAGCGTAAATAGTGGTAGGCATCACATCTAATAAATTCCCAAACCAGGAAGCATTGTAACATCCTGCTTGTTTATTTATTTATTTTTAAACAAACCAAACTATCCAAATGCACAGATAATCCAACTACTAAAAGCCTACACAGAATTCTTAAAACACATTGTTTCAGTCTGCTGGAGGGCTTGAAAATCCTTCATACTAATTTTCAGCAAGTTCTCTTCCTTTCTCTAATGAGAACAAGGTTTATAAAACCTGGGCTCCCCTGCCAGGAAAATCAGCCCAGGGCTGTCTCCAAGCAGATGGTCTTCTTTTCTCACTACTACAAACCTTTTAGGATTGGTCCTTTTTGTATTTTTACCTATCTGAAGAATAAATGTCTTTGAGACCTCAGAAGCCCTCTGTTCAGAGGGGACAAGAAGCTGTCTTGACCAGAGTTCATAGCTACATAGATGATGTAGAATAAAGGCAGTGCAAAACTGTGCCTTGTGTTTCTGTCTGTTATATCAGCGGAAGATAGGTTGATTTGTAGACACTAAGGGGGTGTGCTTTAAATATCTACACTTCAAGCCTTATCATAAGCTGAGTTTCTAGATGGTAATTAACACCTTCCTAGTCCCAGGAATTTCAAGCATTAAAGAATTCTTTTTTTTCCTTTTTTTTTCTTTGAGGATAATGTAATCGTTATTATATTTAAGGACATAAAAAGATGGGGAGGGGGGAGCTGGCAGATGGTGTGGTGTTTAAGGGATTGGACTCCCACATGGCATACCATGGTTCAAGTCCCAGACCTGGTGACTTGCTTTCTCACTTTCCCTTTTTCTCTTTGGTCAAGTTAAATAGTAAGTAAACAAATACAATTACAAAAAGAAAGATGGGAAAGAGATTGGAAGACTGGTTGTCATGTTTATTCTGGGTCTGTTTTATTCATAAACTATTATACTATGTAAACTTTAAATAAAGGCTTTCAGGAACAATATGTTTCTAATAGAAAATTTTGAAGCAGTTCATAGTTTTTATTTATTTGATTTTTACATTGGCCACCTCTAAGTTATCTTTAATCTCAACTAAAATCAGCATGAATCTCACCTCTGAAACTTATTTGCTGTAAATGGAAAATCAACTACTTAATCATTTTGAGAAAATCTGTTTCTCAAAAAAATAAATAAATAAAATAAAAAAGTGAGGAAAACAAACTCTCTTGGGACCAGCGGTTAGCGTAATGGCTATGTCGCTGGCCTCCCATGTAGTTGACCGCGGTTTGCGTCCCGGACCCGGTGGCTTAAAACTCATGCTGGGCTTGTGTGTGTGCATGCCCAAGATCCTGAGAGGACAATGGAGGAGAAGGAATTGCGGCATGGCCATCCCCGCTGGGGGGTTATTTCTCACTTTCTGTCTGTCTGTCTGGCAAGCGCACACGCTCTATAGCAAAAAACATCTCCAAAAAAAAAAAAAAAAAACTCTCATCAGGTTATGAAGGATTAAGTGAGATAATGCATGGTAAGTTTTTACCACATGGTCTGGCACTTCATGAATACACAACAATCCTTTAATTTGTGATTACTGTTGTTACAGTTATTGAGTAACCACCATGTACTCAGCAGTATGTTACATGGAAGAATATAGCTTGCAGGATTTCGTTCTTATCCTCAATAATAATTTAATTGGCCAAGAAATAAAGCAGAGACAATATTAAGTTCTATGGTAAACAGTGTCAGTGGGATATTGATTTTGAGTGGAGGGAGACCTGTGAGTGGCAATCAGAATCCCCCCTTGAGGTAGTTTTTCATCTAGGTCATGAGGGAGGGTTGGGACTTTGTCAGCAGTATAGGGTCGACATTCACATTACATGAATGCCCGCAGTAGTTATTGGCCAGACCGGAATGGAGGGGATGTGACACAGGTCAAGAGGGAGGGTGTCCTCTTGTCATGGCCCTGTATGTTGGGACACACACTGGTTCTGAGGTCGTGCAGACCTGTTTTTAAATTCTGTTCACTAGCTATGAAACCAAGGGAAAGTCTTTTGGCTCCTCATCCTTTCAGTGGGGGAATAAACCGTCTGCTCATTCAGACAGTTTTCATAACTAGGTGGTCTGTAGACCACCATGCCATGTAGTAGTCGGGTGTTTGTGGGCTGTAAACCGGCAGTCTTAGTTACACTGCACATAGCCTACTCTTTACCCAGCAGTCCCAGTCCTAAAGAGGTCATCTCTGTATGAGGATGTGCACACAGGTGTGTCTTGCATCATTGTTGTACCAGAAGGTGTGGGGTATTGTGGGTGTAGACAGTTGAAAGGGTGATTGGGAAAACAGGATGTTGTCATCAAATAGTCAAAAGCAACAGCTGGAAGGGACACACAGCGATGCAAGCCAAGCCTGAAACATACTTCTGCTGTTTACATATCTTTACTGTTTAAGTCACCCGTCTATAGGATCATACAGTGCTAATTAAAATGCACACATACCACACTGTGTATACTTCACAGAGCACACGCAGGTAACTGATATGCATTAGCACCTTAGGAAGGCTGCTGAGAGGCAGGAGGGCGGGTCCTAGGACTGAAAAGAACGCATTCAGGGAGATAAACTAGCAGGGATGACTGTATAGTGTGGAGTATGATTAATCCCACCCTCTCCTCTGCACTTGGACCACCCCAAGGAAAAATAGCAAAGAAATATGATGCAGGAGAGAATTAATGCTGTAGAACGGGGAGCAGCTCCCTGGGAGGCTAGTTCTGCTGCTAGGAGGAGTGGAACAGGGAACCCTGCAGTGCTGAGGCTCGCCCAGCATGGTTCCTGTGCTTGACAGGTCTGTGAACTCCTTTCATCCTCACAGCAGGCTTTGCCCATCTGATACTTTGTGAGTGCCATTTGGCAGGTGAGGAAAGTGAAGCATGGCGAAAGCAAATAACTTGCACATAGTCAGGTCACAGGGAAGCCAAGATTCAAACCCAGTTAGTCTGGCTCTCAGAATCCCTGTTCTTAATTATGAATACAATGCTTTGCTGCCTCCTGATGGACTTAGCTAGAGTGGTAACAAGCAGTACAAATACTTGCTATAAATGGTATTGTTGGCATAGGCCTGGCCGTTGCAAGTACTTCCTTTTTGTGGAAGCTGACAAGTGGGTACATGAATATAAAACTTTATTAAAATATAGATTCACAAATATCCAGCTTGATGAATTTCCACAAACTGGATAATTTGATACTACCAGAATACAGATTAAGAAACAGAATACTGGGGCCATCAGTGGTTAAAGTGCTGGACTCCCACATTGCCAGCCACAGTTTAAGCCCAGACCCAGGGACTTGAAACTCATGCTGGGTGGTTGTGCGTGCATGCCCAAAATCCTAAGAACGAGAATGGACAAATGACAGTGGTGTGGCTATCTTCCCTGAAGGTTGAT